CGAGTGGAGTAGTGAGAGTGAATCACTCACCTGTTAGTCCAAGGTGATGACCGGGTAGTAAAGTCGCCATACCCTGCGCAAGCTTGTCTAACTCGGCGAAATGGATGAGAGCCTCCTCCATCGACAATACAAAATATCTCTTGCTATTGAACAGGCTGAATGAGTTGTGGTCGTGTGACAGTCTGTAAGAACATACTTCCGAACTTGGTGCATTGGCAAGTAATGCGACGACAAAGCTGCCGTGGAAAGCGTGAGGGACGCCTGCTGAGAGAAGCATCGAGTGTAGGGCGGCGGCGGCCTCTAGCAATCGACGAGTCTCGTGCGCCATGGAAACAGCGTCAAGGAAGGGGTGTCAGGCTAGGGACTTTGTGTACAGGCGTCGAACCATGCTGAAGGTTTGTTGGGAGCCCGAGGAGGAGGAAGCGCGAACGAGGGCCTTTTAATGTAAGCCGGTAGCCAGAGAGCGTCTGATGAAGAGTCTGTCAGCTTAACCGAATGTTGCATTGCGGGACTTCGAACCTGCGCGATCATGAATCATATATTCAGTACCAACTCGATGCGTAATTGAGTCCATAAAAGGACCGCAAATCGATAGAAATCAACCGAACTACGTCCATGCAGTCACATGGGCCCACTGCACGAGATATTTGGGACTATGTTAGGCCCAAAGCAGTAGGTAGAGACCTGGAATTGAGAGCAGTCGGTTACTGCGAGGTTTACATCGTGAGAATGCCTTGGTGCATTAACTTCGCCGGGATCAAGACAGCGTGTTTATCCTTGAATCATTTGACCCCGGAAAGCCGGAACCTAAAAGCCCTCAGCGGAGCTAAAATGTTGGTCGTCATGTTTTCTGCTACGCGTTATATATGCTCACCATCTACCTATTCCCTGGCTTGACGACGACAAGTGCTAAAGTCGACATGAGGTGCAGTGAGAAAGAGGATCTAGGATGGGAAGCGCCAGAGTTTACTGAGCTCCTGGGCGCTCGGACGGACCACATGGCGGGCCGATCACGCGTTGCCGAGGTGCGCCTTTCCCGCCAAAGTCGTCTTTGACACCGACCACCATCCTCGCGACGTCGGGCAGGGCACAGCGCATGCATACGGCATTGCGCCTGCAGCACAAGAGCCATGTAATGGGACTGTCTCACGTTATATCCTCGCTCTCGTACTCTTTTACCTCCCTACGACCGCCAGGAGCGATCTTCACTCGGAACATATGCACGCCTTGCTATAATCATGTCCGGCGGGGCGTGTCTCGTACGCCTTTGCGCGCGTACGGACTCATCAATGGAAGATACTCCGACGCATTGTTGCGTCGACGTTTTGACATGCGGTGTATGTCCTGGATACCCAGGTTCGGGTTCGCTTCAAGACAGCAGGATGCATTCAATGGCCCTATGGATAACCAGGAGGAGGTAGCCAAGGTGGCGATTTTAGAGAAAACCATGAAAGGCAGGCAGCCTACGGATCTCATGCTACGATGTGCGTCCTTCTTACCTCCGGTCGGCCTCTGGTCTGACCGAAAATACTCTGCCAATAGGTACAGTTCTAGACGAGGACGGTTAGTCCCCACAACTTGGTTTCTCATGCCCAAGGCTGGTCCTGATGTGTGCTTGTCCACTTACGTCTACAGGTAACGTGAAAACAATCTCAGGTCAATTCAAGAAGTCGGATCTATGTTCCGAACATCGATTAAACGTAAGTCACGGCGATAGTAACTCAGCATTTCGTAGCGTCTCACAGGTCAGAGGACAGCCCCGTGATCTGCGTAAAATAGACTCTAGAATTCCGAACCTAGTGCCTACTATCCTAGTGAGGAAGGAAGCGATCCTCGTGAGTAGGTCCAAGACATCGTCGAATGCGTTCGTAAGTAACTTTTACAGGTTAATATTCTTCATATTCGTGCCTTGGTAAAAGCGGACGCCGTTGTATTGTTTGACACATACGGCTCAGCCGACTCGCGCCTACACTCCGTATTCCTATATCATCTGGAGGTGAGCGACTTACCGTCTGTCCATGGCATATATATTGATTATTCGACCCTGTCAGCATAATCTCAGAGCAAAAAACTCGGGCCCACCATACGAATTTCGGTAAGCCTTTATGGTCCTATAATAGGTGTATTACTTCTCACCGGTGTCAGCTGCGCCTAAATCAGAGCGTTGGAGTCCATTCTGTTGTCAGTGCTGAGCGCTTTAGAGGCAGAGATGGTCTTTATACGTAATCTGGTTGGCAACCTTCTTGCTGAATTGGAAGATGATATCGACCGTGACAAGTTCAAATATCTTCTGCATTATTCGAGAAGATTAGCAAGCTTCCAAAGCCGTGCCAAGCTGGTAAGAATATTCCTTACTCAGTACTTTGAGCATAGCCGACTTTGGACGCAGGTACAAGAGGCTCTTGAAGAAGTTCTGGAACAGGGTAAGTTTGAAGCGGGTCTTGTATACGCTTATGAATTTCTGATTTTCGCTGGATAGACGAGGACATGTCGGCTATGTATCTGACAGACAAGAAAAATGGCACTAACCGTGAAATGACTGATCACGAAGAGCTGGAAGTTCTGCTGGAATCGTTCGCCAAGCAAGTGGAGGAAATTGTGAACGAGGCAGAAAGCATACAGGTAACGAATTTATTTGTAAAACATGGGTAGATCGAACTAAATTACTCGCAATCGGCAGAGCAACGTGCAGTCTACGCAAGAGATCGTTGAGCTGATCCTCGATTCCAACCGAAACGCCCTGCTGGCCTTGGACTTGAAGGTCAGTTCTCTCGCTTCTAGCGTATTGCGCACGTTGCTCACAGCGCAAACACCTTACTCAGATATCGATATGGACAATGGGCATAGGTGTGGGAACCCTAGTCGCAGGCCTCTTCGGGATGAACGTACGTCAAACACAATTCTCGTACCTTGTCTTCTCAGAGTTAACTCTCGTTTTCAGTTGAAAAGTCATCTCGAAGAGCACGAATTCGCATTCTTCTCGATGTCAGTGCTGTGCGTCCTGGTAGCAGGCATCTTCTCATGGACGGGGCTCCGACGGTATGATCGCTTTCTAATGGATGCGAATTTCCACGGCTGACATGGATGTGAACGACATAGGCTCGCTCGAATACGCAAGGTCGGACTTTCTGCCGGGCTACCTGGACGCAGGAGACCCCCACCAAAAAGGAGGTGGCTTCCTTTGCCGCTACGCAAGAATGATCCTAGCGACGGGTTGCAATAGCGCCTTATTTGCCTCTTGGCGATCTTTGGACGTGTCATATGTCGTTATCCTAGACGCATGCTAGTCCCCCACCTCCAGTTATCAAGCCTAGATTTTTCACTTTCCCTGTGCTGATGGGACCGACCTCTTCACTCATTCAAAAGTTCGCTTCAACTTATCCATCCAGCTCTCATACAAGCCACATCAATTTTCGTAGGTTACGAGGGTTTTTCTGCTCTCAATCATGACTACCTACCGCCACTACGCGAAATTCCCAGTAGAATGTCTCCTTAGTGGCAAAAGACCCTCGTGGAGGTGGACGTCGGTAACAGCCGTTGCTTGGGCTTGTTTGGATCGGAAGCCTTGTCGCTACCATTTATGGCCAAAATGTGATACGGCAGTGTGCATCGTCGGACCCTATACGCACCCTCCAGTCTACTTTAACTGCCTGATACATCATAAATATCCAATTTCATCCCTCGTAATACATTGGAACCCGTATCTTACACAACCACTAAAACTGCTGGCGAGTTATCATAGTCGTACATGCCGCCCTTATATGCTCTACCGGGCACTTTGTGGGGTTGGTGGAAGTAATGCCGCACTTGTGAGTTCCGTCGCAACTTGTCTCACTTTCGCCCTCAGCTTACCCTCTTCTTTGTCCTCGGTACCCTCCCCGATGCCCACACCCAGTCGATCCGCCAATACTTTCACAGCCTCATCCGTCCTAACTTCCCGTCCTATCTGACGTTTTTCTGACCACCAGCTGGATGCGCTCTGTTGAAGATCTGGATGACGCATAACGGCTGCCTGGAGTAATTTAAGAAATGTGGTTCGCCGCAGCGTGCGCTCGAGCGTGGCGCGCGTGGTAAGTATGCTTGTGAGTGGCGGCGGAGGTGGGGTTGTGTGCGGCAGCGAGTGAGTTATGATGGGCAGGAGTAGGAATAGAATGTGTCGTAAGAGCCATAATGTATCATGAAGCTGAATCAGATTGTGAACGACGCATTCATGCTCAAAGGAGAAGGGCGCGCACCATAAAGACGTTAAGTCCGTCGCGTGGAATCGATACTGGTGCGGAAACGGCAAAATAGCACTCCAGAAGGCAGGCCGCGACTAACACCACGAGAACATGTGTACGCCATCTTGAGCGATGGCTTGGAGCAGTAGTAAGGAGCCCAAGCAAGGTAGCCTCGCGGATATATTGTGTGAGTGGGCCAGGGAGGGCATACAGAGCATATTGGTCGAGAGTCTTGCAATGTTGGCAATCTTGCAATACCAGCTGTCCAAAGCTTTCCGTAATACGCAAATTAGTGTGTCTACTACATATACAGTCCTAGGTGACGTACCGAACATATGCAGCGCGTGTGTCAAAGGATGAGAGGCGAGTGAGTAGACCCTCAAGAGCTTTTGGTAGCGAGGCATCGGATGGTAGACCTGCACGTTCAAGAAGAATAGCGCGAATACCATTTGAAGGCATGGTCAATGGTAACCGTAGTCGTTGGAACAGGTTGGGAGGCCATTGTACTGTGAGCACGTACAAGACGTACATCGTGTGCAGCGTGACCAGTAATGTCAACCAGTCTCGATAGGGCGACCGAGAGGTAGACTGTCGACGCCGAAGGCATATATAGGTAGGAACGGTGACCGCAGCAGCAGTAACGACGAATGCGTCGACCGACGCGCTGATCACAGGCATCGTGAATGTTGAGAACAACCTTGACAAAGAACCGCAGACTCAAATCATTTGCTCCACTGAACTGTGCGTGTACATTATACTACTCAAGATTACTTTCTTTATGGTTCAATGGTGTAGTGGTTATCATACCTGTCTTACACACAGGCGGTCGCCGGTTCGATCCCGGCTTGAACCAGCTTTTTTGACTCCGACTCTTTATACTCCACGTGGCTCGTATGATTAGCGCTTGAGCATGCTGACGGTCGAGCGCGACTCGACCTCTTCCATTTACTCTCTCACATCCCTTGTCTCGTGAAGATGATCTCTTAGGACATTACCGGCTTCTCACCCTTTTATTTTTTTGTTTTATCTCTTCAACAAATATACGAGTTGGTACCAGCCGGCACAATGCAACCTACTCGTATTGCGTGCGTTGCCCGCTTGTTATGGATCACACGTAGCTAACATCGAAATATCCAGTATGGTCTGTGATTTCTTCCATCCTAATGTGGGTGGTGTAGAAAGTCACATCTACATGTTGAGCGTGAATCTTATCCAACGAGGTCACCATGTGAGTCTACCCATACTGCGCATTCAGATCCCTGTTAACATTCCGTCAAGGTGGTCGTGATTACGCACGGGCACCCGCCAGACCGTTATGGGATCCGTTGGATTCTTCCTGCGCTCAAAGTGTACTACATACCTTTCCCTACTATTGCCTCATCAGCGACACTCCCGAACTATTTCACTTTCTTGCCGTATTATCGCACTATCATTTTACGAGAGAACATCCAATTAGTACATGGACATGCCAGTCTGTCATCTTTGGCCCAAGAAGCAATTCTTCACGCTCATTTAGTGGGTGTAAGAACTGTGTTTACCGACCACAGCTTGTTCGGCTTTGATGACGCCGCCAGCATACTCACAAATAAACTCCTTGAGGCGGCTTTGCGTAACGTCGATGCTGTTATCTGCGTTTCCCACACAGGGTATGTCATTGTCCATTCTTTATCTATATCGATGCTGAAAAAAGTCAAAGTCGTGAAAACACCGCTCTGCGAGCCCATTTATGCCCCGAAACAGCATACGTGATCCCGAACGCTCTCGTCGCAGATCAGTTCAGACCAGCACCAGACAAAATATCGTCGGAGATAGGTTAGTCAGTGCTTTGTGTCTAGTCCTATGCGTTGACGGTCTTCGAAGTCACGATTGTAGTTATGTCGCGCCTGGCCTACCGCAAGGGCATTGACTTGCTCGTAGCGACCGCGCCTCGCCTTTGCGCCCTCTTTCCTAATGTTCGTTTCATCATCGGTATGTCATGACCGAGAGTACGGGAGTCCTGCGCTGACTCATGTATAAGGCGGAGATGGGCCCAAGATGATCGACCTACTTCAAATGCGAGAGAAACACCTACTCCAGGACCGTATAGAATTACTTGGTCCAGTCCGGCATAGTGACGTCCGTAGTGTGGGTATTTGTTCAGGATTTCTGACTTCTGCTCATAGACTCCTTGCTATTACTCCAGGTTCTGATACAAGGATCTATATTCATGAACACCTCTCTAACGGAATCTTTCGGTATTGCTATCCTTGAAGCAGCCTGTGCGGGTCTATATGTCGTGTCCACTCGTGTTGGCGGTGTTCCCGAAATTCTACCATCAGACATGATTTCATTTGCCAATCCTGACGAAGACGGTGCGTATCATGACGAGTTATATGTCTAGACACTTGTTGATGTAATGAGTATAACCCGTATAGATGTAATACGTGCAATGTCAGAAGCGATTCGTATCGTTCAGGCAGGTGCGCATGACCCTCAGCGGGCGCATGAGCGCATCAGGGGGTTTTATGACTGGAGTGAAGTCGCTGACAGGGTTGAAAACGTGTATACGAATGTCCTCCGGACGCCGCCATACGACTTCTGGACAAGGATGCGTAGGTGAGCAATGCGTCCCAGCCCCAGCGAGTCTACCGAGTTTGGCTTGGATTTTGATGGACGGACAGGACACTCGATCTCGGGCGGTTTGCCGGGATAATCTTTTCCATCATCCTCCTCGTCGATTGCTTGTTCTTTCTGGTGTTGGAATGGTGGATGCCTGCGTGCGATCTGGACAAGGTCCAGAAGCGCTGGAACCAGGTACGCTTCGTGCAGGTAGGTTTTCCCGATTTTTCTTACCGCCGCGCGACGCGCTCATGAACGCGGCGCCCGTAAGCTCGCCGAAGCTTACAGAGAACAGACAATCTGTGAGCGCACCGCGCGCATCCAAAGTACGGCGTCGAGACATGAGGAGCACTGAGATAGTGAGTCCGCAGCTGCTCTCAAAATTTTACAGCGATGCTGAGCTTGGCCTACGACCTCTCGCATTTTCCAGACAAATCTACGACGCAAACACCCGCGCGGCATTTTCCAGTACTCAGCTTGCTGCTCTGGACGCTTTACGCCATCACGAAAAACCCCGTCTTGATGAAGTCACGTGACTCGTTCATAAAAGTCTTTAAAAATGGGAATGGCTCGTTACGGGCCTCTTACATCCACCATCTCGATTGCCTAGACGCATGGAGGTAGAGAAGAAGTCTCCGGAAGTCGCCAGCGTGCATTCCGAGGAATGTCTCCCTCCATCGCGCTGGCAGCAACATGCCGCCCGGTTCACCCACTTCCTCAAGCGATGGGGAGTGGAGACCAATGGGTACCGTCCGCTTTGTTAGCCCTGTGTTCTGATGTTGATGCTATACTGCGACTCTTCTCAGGATTGACCCCATACCTGCGGATCAGCGCACGGACCCCAAGATGTTCCAGCTGTTCTTCGTTTGGTTTTCCGCCAATATGAACGTATTAGGGTAGGATACAAAGGTGTATTACTGTACTCATAGCTAAATGTATTCATTGTTGTCTAGCTTAGGCGTAGGCTCTGCTGGCCCTGCGTCCTTTGGACTTGGACTCAAGCAAACTCTCATTATCATACTGATCGTCGACGTGATGTACGTCTTCCACCATCTGGCTAGTAAGCGACAAGCTGAAAACTTGTTATCAGTTGCTGTGCTGTTCCGTCATACTTGTAAGCATATGATTATCTTGGAATTTCAGTCTGGTACCAACACCCCGTACAGCGCGGTCTTCGGACCTAAACTAGGGGCACGATCGATGGTGCAAGCCCGTTATTCATGGGGGTAAGTGCCGGACTTCGTCTGATGCGGTACAGAATTTGACACTCTGCAGATGGTATGGAGCCATGATACCCAGTGCTCTCAACGTATTCACAATGCAAGGCTACCTCATTCTCAACTGCATCATTGCGGGACAGACACTCGCTAGTGTCTCCGAACATCTCAATGTCACCCTTGGCATCGTGATCATTAGTGTGATCTCGCTGGTTGTGCGTTCTAGTTTTATGAGCTCTCGTAAGCTACGATTCTAACTATCAGCGCCAGGTCACCTTCTGTGGGTACAAGGTCATCCACTGGTCAGTACGTTTCTAATTGTTGCAACTGTTATTGACAATCGCCTAGGTACGAAATGACAGCATGGATACCCAACGTTATCGCGTTTATTATCATGCTTGGAGTCGGAGGGAAGCATTTTGTGAATGCTCCACCTACGAAACCTGTCACCGCCTCGTCCGTGATCACGTTCGCCACTACAACCGCGTCCAGTGTAATCAGCTGGGCAACAATGACTCCTGACTATGGAGTTTACCACGATGGGAGCGTATCCGGGTATGCCTCTTGACTCTCGTTGCTCTCCCTTTAAGCTAATCATGCGCTGTAGCTTGAGAATATTCATCTACACCTATATTGGTTTCATTACTGCCAGTGTAAGCAGACCATATATAGTGTACTTCAGTCCGTTGATTAGACTTGCACAGATCACAGCACACTTCCTCGGTGCAATCTTTGCCGCTTGCGCACCCGGAGTCCCTGCTTGGGCTGCGGGTTTCGACAACGGCAGCAATGTCGGTGGGCTTATTGGCGGCGTTTTCTCGCCCCTCGGCGGCTTCGGCAAATTTCTCTGTGTCCTGCTGGCAATCTCTATACCAAGCTCGGTTGCGCCGACAATGTACACCTTCAGCTCAAGCTTCATGACCATTGGAACGTATTTTGCCATGGTTCCCCGATATATCTACATATTCGTAGCTGAAGCCATGTACGTCTGCGTATGGTCTCGAAAACCCTTCTTGCTGATCATTTCATTGTATAGTCTCATTCCTGTGGCGATCATTGGTTCGACGTCATTCTACGAAACGTTTGTTGACGTGCTGAGTGAGTCTGCTTGTTTCGTATGTTGGCCACACTCATCGTGATCATCCATTCGGCAGGTATCATCGGATACTGGAGTACTGTCTGGACCGTGATTATCCTGACGGAGCACTTCATATTTCGTCGCAACACCTGGGCGCGCTACGACATGGACGCTTGGGACACCGCTCGACGCTTGCCATGGGGCGCCGCGGCTGTACTATCCTTTGCCTGCTCCTTCGCTATCATCATTCCATCGATGGATCAAGCGTGGTACAAGGGACCTATCGCGGAAGCGGGTACCGGTGATATCGGCATTTTGGTGGGCTCTGGTGTGGCCTTCTTGCTCTACCTGGCCCTCAGAGCTCTTGAGATAGCCTGGACGGGAAGATAACCTAAGAACATGATACCGGACAGCAAATATCCTGGTTTGTTACTGTCACCTTCTGTATGTGATTTAAAAGACGCGTTGGACCACGATGTACTACAACGTAGCTGTACCATTAGAAAATGTTGGACTGTATAGACTCATGCTTTAGATGTTATGCTTACGCCATAGATGCCAGCCGTCGGTTTCATCCTAAACGAGCGTTTTCGTCGACAGCCTAATTATGCATAGCAAACTGTCCGTACGCGGAGTGACTTAGTATGCTTGTGGCCTCGTACTGCATTCTCCTCGGGTCGTGTTGCGCCTGTCAACAATCCGTCTTTAGGCCTCTACAGTACCCGGCCATGTATCACGAGGGATAGACACTACGTCTAATATTGCGCATGGTCATCGCTGTGAAAGACGCTGTGTAGCACAACGATTCATCTTCAATACACTCACCAGAAGTTGTCCGTACGACCCTGATACTCAGCAGTGATTGTCAGAACACGTCACGCACGACTCGGAGTCGCAAAAGAACACTAGAGTGAACTCCATTACTACTTAATGGGGAGACATGCGCAGTGTGCCGAGTAA